CGACGATTCAGTGGCTTGGAAGGTAGAACTGGACAAGGCCAAAAGGCTTATTCCGGATCGGCATTCGGAGGACAGTCACCCTTATCGGTGCTATCTTTTAGGTTTAGCCAAGGCCTTCGAGGAGCCGCAATTGGATGAACTTAAAACGGTGGTCATACAGATGAAAGAAGACAACATCGAGATCGGCTCAGGGTTCTGCAATCTCCTAATCAGATTATACCGAGCTCGGAAATTATATCCTCAAGCCATTACTGGATATACTGGAATGGTGGAATCAACATCTCATATCTTCCCGAAAGAAAGGACTCACAACGAAATGTTTCATATGATGGCTGGCATTGTGACTAAAACGGAGCAAAGTGGTAGGATCACATTTTCTTACGGGCTCCATCTGAGATCACTTTTCAGGGAGATGATCGCCATCTATACAGCTAGATTGTCGATTATGACTGGCAAAATTAGCAGCGAAGTTGTATCTCGGAGCAATCTCTGTTTACTCTGGGGATGTTTACTTACGCGAGGGATTACCCTGCGGTACTGGTGGTTCTCCAGTTTTTCAAGAAGTATGACTATATTCAGGATAAATACGCAAAGCTGCATATCACTGGTTCCCTCGGTTTCCGATCATCTCGTGCTAGCCAGGAAACCTGAGCAGGATGTTTCCTCGGTTATCCCAAGCCTAGACACCTGCGGTCAAATGAACTTAAAGAAATTGTAAAATAAATAAACGACGGAGTGAAGGCAGAGGATGATTTGGCTCGTCATGAGGAACTACTACCTAGGGCACTTCTTACGAACATGTCATTTTCGTCACCATGGAGTGTTACTCTGAGGGGAAATGGGAGAGCTAAGGCCGAAATGGAACAGGCTATGGCCGAAATGACGCCGTCAGAGGAAGAAATCGACAAGTTTAAAGAACGGATGTGTAAATTCTTGGAAACGGAACCGACGTAAATATTGGCCAGTTAATACCATTGACATTACTCACAATCCTTTCGTAGGATGATGGCTTTGAATATTTAGAGTAGCTCACTCATGATGGAGCTGGGTGTTTACATCAGTAAAGTTGGTAAAAACTGGCGCCTAATGGCTCGGTTAGGAATTTTGGTTATTCCTATGGAACGACACATGGATATCCTATTTTTTTTGAGAATCTAGTTTATATGATCTATAATCCTCTCATGACAAATAACTGGGGCTGTCTATACAGTGTCGAGATAGTCATATATAGCTGATCATAGTTTATGTACATTTCCATAGCAAAATTTGCATGGGCAATATCTCGACGCAGACTGTATAGACAACCCCAGTTATTTGTCATGAGAGGATTATAGATCATATAAACTAGATTCTCAAAAAAAAATAGGATATCCATGTGTCGTTCCATAGGAATAACCAAAATTCTTAACCGAGCTATTAGGTGCCGGTTTTTACTAACTTTACTGATGTACTTTGGTATGACAATGTCTGCGGACAACCCCCGACAGCAGTAATCAGGTTGAGAACAGTCGGAAGCTATATGATGTACACTCTTTGCGGAAAAACAATGGGATACTATGCCCTTCTTTTACTGGTTAATTCATATTATTGCAGCCCCTGCGGACAGGAATATTATACTACTCCGGTACTTCTCTGAGAGAGGTATTAAACTGTAATATTAAACCACCCTTGTATTATACTTTTTTTCGAGTTTTAAGTGTCATCAGAAGCATTATACTAGTATTGAGTAGTAAATAAATATCTTTATATGCATAATTTGAATCTTGTATGAGGTATACTACAGGTATTAAACTATATTACTTCATTGTCCTTGTTACCAGTATAATACTCCATATAATACTAGATACATACTACCTCTGATCAACAACCCAGTAAACCAGACGGTGGCTCAGTTACCAGTAGACTC